CGCTCTTTAGTGGCGGTCCACTGCACTCGATCTGATTTTGGAGACAGCACATAGGCTGTTTCCGATGGTCACGTGACTACGGGGGGAACTAAGTTCCTTGACAGGTAACAGTCGGACGCTGTAACCAACTCAGCCATGGGGCAGATATCCGAGCTTAAGAATAATATGTCTATGAAAGCTTGACCGACCCGGGAAGTTCTTAGCGCTATTAGTAAATGCAACAATGCGAGCCGCAAAATGCGCTTCAAGCTCAATATCACATAGTACTGTATATTTCCAGGTTGTTGCGAATGGTCCCACGAATACCGTTGCATAGGTGATGCCTTTTTCGACACACTGCATAACTTATCGCCCAGAGCCATCGAGTTGACCTTCTCAGTACCAGTCCTGTGTTCTCGGCCTTTACATCCTGCTAGAACCGTTGGTTTTCCCCCAGGCTCTGTATCGATTGACCTGAACACAGCCTCTCTTATGGGATCGCTTTTGGACCGCTTCAGCCCCCAGCTCTCCACTTATACAACGGGGGACCTGGGCCCACGGTCGTCGCTGATCGACCGCATCTCAACCCAGCCGGTTGCTGACCCCTTGACGATCGACGCCCTCGAAGCAGTTGAAAACAGTATAGCTTCCGGCGCCACAAGCCCTCGCGCCCCTTCCCTCTCTGTGGATGCCACTGAAGACGAAGGCCACCAAGCAACTCCTCTGCCTGTCTCCTCTGCAGCTGTCGACAGCTTCTTGGCCAGTGTTCTCAGCATAGACGTCCCGTCGAGAGCATCGCGCAGCCCCAGCAGATTAGCCCCCGACGACTGCGTTATGCGCCATTCAACATCCGAGGTCCTTGACGAAGGACGCAATCTTTTTGTATCGCGGGTGGTGGACATCGCACAGCGGAGAGGCGCAAGAGGTAATGGAGCAATCGAGGAACGTGCTGAAGCATTGATGTCCACCAAGTGGCTCAATGAGATGATGGAACACGGTCGCAAGGCCGTCGTCGAGATGCAGCGGTTGTCCTCAGAGAAGGACATAGCCAGTGTCGCTGGTCAGAAGAGAAAGAGGGACGACGAGGCCGAAGGTATGCTTATTCAGGCGACCGAGCATCCTCAAGTTGAGCCGCCCGTAAGAGTGGCCACGCAATCCGTTCCTCAATTACCGGCGGAAACTGCTGTCTCCTCGCCAACCGCGAAGAGAGTCGGTGCTCCCGCCACCCTGTTCGAGACGACCTTGGCTTCTGCTCAACGTGTCATGGAAGCCTACCTTGCATCCGAGGCTCCCGAACCTTCGAAGGATGAACCGTCTCCGGAGGCGCCTCCAGTTTCTGCGCGCTCACTTGCTGGACTTCCACCGCAAGATACTCGGACTACACAAATTACTTCCGATGTGCCGGCTGAGCCGCCGTTGCAAGACACGCCCCTGGAGGTGATTCCGACTAGCGCTTCTGTTACTCCGGCTGAAGCTCCAATTCTCAACGCTACCTCGCAGACGTCCTCTTCGGCCCACCACGTCACATCCACTGCATCGTCGGAACAATCTGCTGCGAATGCTCCGCTTGCCACGCTTGTTCCGACGCCTATCGACACACAGCCTGACGAATCATTAACACCAACACCGCCGCAGGAAGAGGCGCAGGCCTCGTCGGCTTCAGAGCATGTCAGTCATGTACCGGGGATCTGGTCTGTGGTTGTTGGAAGTCAATTGGCGGAGATCATGGATGTTCAATTTATCGTTCATCCCGACGTCGCTGCTTCGGCACGGCGCTGGGCTGATAAAGCGCACAGTTTCCAGTATGTATATTTTCTACAAAGCGCAGATGGTTCCCCTCACCGCTCTCTCCAGCGCCAACGACACGCACGCTATCATCCATCTACTTTGCCTGCCCACGTCGGCCGTCGCTGCGCTAAATCAGACGCTAGAAGTCACTGCCAGCCCTCGCGAGGTAGCAGACGCTATGTGGAACATTGGTACGAGATGGCCTATTCAGGGGACAATCGTGGTGGAAGTGAATCCAGGACACAGCGGTGGTTCCCATGCATTTCTGCCCCAGTCTCTGGTGAGTAGACCGGGGGGATATTGAACACCATCACTGAAGCTGCCCAGGGCCCTAATGACGGCGCACTTGATGTGACGGCATATGTTCATGCGGGTTTGAACACAGTGCGCGTCATACAGCTACGGGACACCTCGCCGTACGTGTTCGTGATCCATGCGACTGTTCCATCTGCCGAGGAGAAATTGCGGACCGAAAGGGTCCTCTCCGAGACGCAGGACTGGACACTGTTCCTTTCTCGAGCATTGGGGAATTCTGCCCTGGCGTCTGGGCAAACTCTGGTGCCTTCGGGTCCGATGATTGTGGGATTAGCGGCATGATATCTGTATTTTTGATCCTCTCTAGAGTGGGCGATTGCATCTTCCTTGAATGTCGACTGTATCGATGATGAATTGTTCTTTATGTATCTTTATAAAGATGTTAACATTTGGAATCGGAAACGAGGCCGCGTCTCCCCAGATTTCCCCACCTCACGTGTAATTCTGTGCGGTTCCGAGCCTTCGACTCCGAGGACTGAGGTTCGCCAGCGGCAGGCACTAGCCCGATCGCGATCGACAGGCACGCGTTGCTTTGTTTCGCCACTGACTGTGAGTGACGAAGAGTTTGGCAGAAATTTTGGCGATGAGTCTGGCCAGCAACCAGCATCGAGCCCTCCGAGTCTGTCTCAGTCACTACGACGTCTGCTCACGCCCAGGGAAGTGCTAGTGATACCTGCTTATCGACGGCGCACGTCCGGCATGTCCCTCCATCCTGCTCAGGCACCGCCTGACCCAGCCCTTCATGCGGCCCCTCCGATAGCTGCTCTCCGTTGATCTCCGTCGCGACCAGAGGGGAGTGCTAGCCGCCGGCACGTTCGTCCTCTCTCTCCCGTCGTCTCTCAAACTGTCGATTTACCTGAGGCGTCCGCGTCTGCTCGCGGTGATGCTTTACAACTATGCATTCCCAATGGTCTTGGGGACATTCGGGGCCTTGGTCCTACTGTGAGTGGCCTATCACCAACTCAAATGTGATAAGCAATCTGACTTCCTGGTTGCAGCATCTTGGTCACCGTGTCCACCCCGCTAGTGCAGGTCATCTACTTTCTCAATACATCGGCAGATGATGGTGTGAAGTTTGGTGTCCTGGGTTACTGCAGCAGTGTTCAATGCGTCTCGCCAACGTACGTCTCCCCAATAGAGTTCATTTTTCTGTATCAGAATGTTGACGAGAAACATAGCCTAGGGTACACGTACGGGACAGCGATCACTGCCTCGTACATACTTGTCCTCTTTCCAGTCGGTCCGTGCATTCTGTCTAGTTGCTTCTTTTCCTCTCGCGTGCTCATACCCTTGTCTGCCTTTATAGCTGCAGCTCTTAGCTTGATCGAGCTGGTTTTCCTCGTACCACTTTTTTTCTATCCACGCTCGCGCCGATTCCCTTATCTATGGTTCTCTCTGCTGTCCCTTGTGACTGCTGTCATCTCCATCGCCGCGTTTGTTGGCATGGTGTATATCGCCGCTGTTGCCTTGACCCGATTCCAAAATGCTTCATCTACGGCCAGCTTAGGGCCTGCGGTCCGTATGCATGTCCATTTCTCGTATGCTCTGCTGATCATCCAATCTAGATCTGGATGGCACTTGCATCGGCAGTTGTACTCCTCGCAGTCGCTATAAATTCAAGCTGCGGTACATGCTTCGGAGGCCGTTTTGGCCGAAAGTCAGATGACCTTCTGTAACTACTACTGGTTTGTTGGTTGTTGTACTGCATTCCCTCATTTATTGGCTTTTCGGTATTTGATACTTTTTCAAGTTGTTGTTTTGACTACGATGCCATCTGGCCTTCTTCTGTTTCTTGTCATGTTGGCCATGATCGTGTTAAGACCTGCATGGGTGAGTCGCTTGGCGGCTATTTGGTTATTCCACTGAGTGTATTTGTAGAGATTCTGTATTTCTTATTGTCAGGCTCGTACCATACTGCGGTATATACACATGAACATGAATATAAACCAGTTACTTTGACTCTATTATGAGGCAGTCATTCTGAACGTCTCTGGCATATCGTATCATTCTGAGTGCGTGTTTGAATCAGGCATGCTCCCACATTCAATCCTCACGCTTGCTAGAGTTTCTATGAGGGCAGTGATTGCGGAGTCGATGCCCTAACCTCCCATGTGTATACCACCACCATTACAACTACGTTCTAAAAGCCTTCTCATTACTCATTCATGGCATTATTCAATGTAAATACAATTCGATTGAATAGAAATTATTCTGCATTGCGTCCCCTGTGTCTTGTTATGATATTGGCAGGCTGCTGAGCGTGCTGATCAAGTAAATCTTCAGAATTGACTCGCTGAGGTGAAAGCGCACCAGGGTCACAAGGTTCCCGCTTCGCCCTCGCAGAGACCTCGCCTCAGTCGGCATAACAATGACGAGTGTAGGTCGATCATCTCGATAGCAAATCCACCGGTGTAAAAATGCCAGAGTCTTAAGCGCGAAGTATATGCCCACAATGGCCATGAGAGCATCGAGGAACAGAAACGCCCTGTGAGTATCATTGGTGATGGCGCTCAAATCCTTTTCTACGTTGGCGGTGAATTGTGCCGAGTTGCTGGCAATATCGTCGAGTGTGTCACTGAGCCTGTTGCTCATTTCATTCAGGGTGTGGTGGATCCCGAGTCCACGAATCACATTGGCAATGTCCCTTTGACCGTCAAAGTCTACGTCGACATGGGTTTGTGACACCAAGGCAGTGCCAATAACAGTCGCAACTGCACCGAAAATAAAGGGAAACATTGGCTGACAGGGGTCAGTACAACATTCTCGAGAGCGAAGGTAGGGCTGGTTAACTGACCGTGGTTGTGACTTGAAGGGATGGAGGGGGGGCAGTCGCAAGGACGACTACTCGCGTCAGGCTCAGGAATGATAGTTTTAAACACCATGCAGACAACATGCACACGCACGCGATAACCTGCCTTATTTGTCGACAAGAGGTAGAAGTTACTGTGCATTCCTGCCGGTGTATCACAGAAGGCGATGAACTGAACTTTAGCACCATACATCATGGGCGGATATGAGCTATCTGTATGATGTTGTTGATTCAGGTGCTTCTTCAAGTTGGCGGTGCTGATACATGTGCCAAACACGCACCCTAGTCATTCTGACCCCTGACTGTGATTGTCAGTGCGGACAGATCTGTCATTGCGATAACAATTATAGAAATATCACATTGCGGCCATCCTCGTCAAGTACCCGTTCAGAACGACCACAGCGATCTTCAAGTATATGAGAGCACTGGAAACAGGCGTTGATGGACATGTCTCTACTCTCTAGGTGAGTTATGCTTAAAAATAGCATGGTACTGCTCAACTCGCACCAGTGTTTACACTCACACTCTTTAGACGTCGACGGGCGCCATGACGTCTACAATCTTGTCGGGGTCTATCAGAGTCAGTGCTGCAGTGCTGAATGCTGTCAGAAAATACCGCGACAAGAACACAGGTGTAGCTGGAGATGCGAGAACCCTGGATTCACGTGTAGTCAAGGAGAAGAACTAACCGCTGACATATATAAGTCCCTTATGCCGTGAGCACTGTAGGAAGATAATGTGTGGACAGCCTACAAGCGTGTGCGCTAAGTAACCATTACAAGGGTGAAACATGTCAGTATATAGGTGGGAGCAAAGGACGACGCAGTGGCCCAAGCAGTGGCCCAAATAGTGCTCGAAGGGGATCGGAGTGCTTCCGTGAGTTTTGTAAGGCAGATGCCAGATAGCTGCTCTCCCCGAAATGGAAATTAAACCGACTTTGCCGTGGACTTACTAGCAGCGAGGATTTTGTCGGTAACAGTATTCAATAATATCGTCGGGCCAATATCGGGCAGGAAGCAAGCGCGGATTTGTCTGCGCGAATTAGAACTGAGAAAGAGGTAATATAGCTTGTAGAAATACCGTAAGCGTCTTGAAGCAATTTAACAGCGCCATGCACAGAAGCGCTAATTTCAGGCTGTTCAACTCGCCTTGACAAGCAATGCGAGCGGCCTTCATTATCATCACTGCGAACTGCCGCGTCCATTCCATTCTATGTGGCACCTTCTTGAATTCCCACGTCAAATCTCTCATTAATGCTCGAAATACGAACGACATACCGTATATCGTACATGTCCTCCACGAATTCCTGCACCTATGCCATTCTTATGGTATTTCCTTAGGACGAGCTGGCTGCGTACAAGATCTCTATGCCAGAGATGAATTGCATTTGATGGTGGGGCGGGGATGCAATACCGCGAACATGTGATTGGTCTCTGAAGTTTGCTCCCGTGGTTGTTTGATAATCCACGTCCCATGGCGGGGAATTCCTTCATAAGTACGAACAATAGGAAGAAAGGTGTACCTTTTCCGCCAGCCGCCACTGGCGGCGGGACGGGACGAGCGGAGGAGGTGCGCGGTGCTGTGAAGCCATGTGGGTTCACGTGCATCGGTGTGGGCGTCTTATTGGTCCATGCGGAGCGCGAGCGCCATAAGCGGGCGTACGACGCGTGCGAGCGCCGACGCGGGTTATGTAATCTTCCGGCAGACGCCGGCACGAACGCGACGCGCTCCCTCCGAGTCCGCCGCGGTGCACCCGCGTCTCCCTCTCTCACACGTCGCCGACGCGCCCCAAGCCTCTTTCGCATCGCCCAACCCGCAGCCTGCAGCAGCGAACACATCCCGTCCGTTTTACGCGTTATTCCATTTATGGCGACACCGTCGTCGGTCGCCACCACACCCTCGCCCCAGCTCGCATATGCGCAGCCCCAGACACCCGTTACTGACCCCCCAGTCACACCAAACGATTCCCCCGCCACCGATGAGGAAGAACGGCATAGGGCAGTGCAGAAATTCCTAGCTCGAGCGGAGATAGGCAAGGTACGCGATTTTTAAATCTTGGATCTGTTAAGGGGGACGATGCAGGGGAAGATATACCCACGCGCGCTGAGTCCTCACCGACACGGCGTTTGGCATCTCTTGACGCCTTTTATGTATCGATATATTCGCTCAGCTTTCTCCACCGTCGGTCTTACCGAGTTATCCTATGTTTATATGATCCGAAAGTGATTGATGGAACCCCCTCGACTTGTATGTTTATCGTCCCCATTTGCAGTCCCGCCGTTCTCGCGTATTCACTTGCGTTTGAGCGGTGAAATGAGCAGTCCATCGTCCCCGCATTCTACAGATCTACGTGGATGAGTAATCATTGACACCCTCGCGTTCTACAGCTTACCCGCGGCCTGCGAGCCCGACTTGGATATGCCACATTCAAGGCCGTGCATAATCTATCTCAGAACACCTTGCAAGACCTCGAGAACGACCCTCAAACCCCGACGCGCGTGAATCGGTCAGGCAATTACTATAATAATCCCGCTACGCAAGGCAATAGTGCCATGACGCCCGGCGGCTCTGGGAGAACAAACACGCGTAAGGGTGCAATGGCACCACCTCCGCCTGTTACTGCCTCCGCTGGACAGAGCCTTTTCTCGTCTATCTTAGCCCCGCCCCCTGCCAAGCGCGCACGGACTATTCACAACCCTCAAGATCCACCCCAACCTGCACCCACTAAACCTAGACCTGCTACACCTCCACGGAAGGGGGGAAAGACCACTTCGCGTGCACCCGAAGCAAGTCAATCGAAGTCGAAGAGTCGCAAACGAGACAAGGAACGGTCGAATGGTAAAGAGAAACGGCAGTTGCCCGGGAAATCAGAAGATAGTGCTGCCGATGTTAATATTGATATTCAAGCGGCAACGACTCTGACCAACTTCTTGCTTTCGACGCGTCAATCGATTTCGGTTGGCACGTCTTCTCCTCGCTCTAGTCTCTCAGCAGGCTCCGACTCTGGCTCAACAAATTCTTTCCGACATTACGCGCAGAGTTCCACGAGGACTGTTACCGCTGCGACATCGACGTTATCCGAATCCTCTTTGCCAGCAGCCCACTCAAGCACTCCTCCACTAGCATCCCCCAGCGGATCAGATTTACATCACGCTTTCCCTCAATCTAGCAGCATCCGTTCAGAGGGAAGGAGTACGCCTAGAACACGGAAACGAGCTATGTATCCCGACTCGAATACCCCCCATATTCCAAGTGACACAGAGGCAGCCGACTCCCTTTTATTCCTAGCGACGTCTCCATCTCCAGCGCGTCCCTCGCATGTCAAAGATCGGGACAGAGATGAATCGGGATCGTTTCGTGTACTAGGAGGTGGATCAGGCCTTAAAGGCCGCGTTCTGTTTCCTACCCATGGGGGTAATGACGAGACATCGAGTACAAGCAGTAGAGTTCTCCGCCGAGAAGGTAGCGGTAGCTTTGCTTCTACCCTCTCTGCTGCCTCCTCCAGCGAGTTCAATCCCGGCGGGAGCTTCCCTCGTATTTATGCCAAGCAGGTTATAAACAATCGGACGCACAATACCTCGCCTCATATCAGTCCACCTCCTGACCGGCCTGGAGGTGGACTACTGGTGATTCCTTTAGAACCAACGATCACCCCACCGACTCCAACAGAGCCCGCCTCGTCTCAGCTCTTACCTGCAGCACCTTCGCCTATGCGACCTGAACGATCACACTCGGTACCCCGATCTCGCGCGCGCTCTCCCCTTGCCAACCCTGTATCGATGTTGAATGCGCCACCCTCGGAAGGGAAGAGGCTCGTGGACGGACCTCCAACACCTGGAAATGCTTCGTTCAATCTGAGCGACTTTATACACGTCTCTCCATCTCCCGCCGGCGGCGCCGGATCATTGTCCAGGTTGGGCGTCATGGACGTCGACATTGGCAGGAGACTATTTGAGGAACACCATGGCCCCAACGGCGCGGCAGGCCCTGCGGGGAATTCGATGAACACGAATGGCAGCCTTGGCGCAGGGATTGATCTCGCGAGAAGTTGAGGTTAGTCACGACGTACGATCGACTGCATCTCACTGTTGCCGGACACGGTTTATGTGTGATGCTAGCCCTATTTGCGTTTGCTATCGCCAACGTGGAAGGTTTCAATCGTGTACGCAACTAATCTCAACGATATCCGCTGTTATAATTCCGGCTGTTGACCGCCCCACATATATTTATCCGCTCGTAACCCCTCTTATGCCCCGCCACGACAGTCCAACGATTTACGAGTATGCTGTATTACCGGGGCGCGTTTCTTGCAACAGTTGTCAAGATGCCCCAACGGTACCCCTTGTAGCCTCATTCGGACATCTGTCGTCACTATCGTTTGGTTCACTGATCTTGCTGTGATAGTATTTCCCGGATCGTTCTGCACCGTCTATATTAATTTCTCCTGGTGGCATAGTGGCTACATTCCCCTTCGCTCTCATACATATCTTGACCCTAACTTTCGTTTCTACCCGTTGTGTTGTGGCTGTTGGGCCTCGTTCGTTCATTTAGTTATTTGCTTCGTTTCTCTTCCTTGTTTATGTCTGCCTTGTGCCACGCCAGTCTAGCTTTCTTTGTCTCCATGATGTATTTTAATATGCCTGCAACAATGTACAGCGCCAACGTCTTTACGCATAGTTTTGCTGCCCCGTCGCAGCGGCAGTCGCGTAGTCGCGTCTGCGCGAACTTGGCATCGGAGCACATGACCGCTCTAATTCCGGGCGCTTGTTTGATTGCTCTGAGCGAACAGTCGCGCTTCCGAGTCCACCACCATCTAGCCCGACCGCGCCGCCAGCACTCCAAGTTGCCCAGCATGGCGACCACCGCATATAACCATGTTCCGCACAATCAGGACTACCTCAGGCAGCCCTCTTCGTCTCCCATCATGCACCGAGCGGCTGTGCCTGGCGGTTCCGCTACAGGAGCACCCGCGCCATTCAGAGCCCCGGCGCACAAGCACGCACATCATCTGCACTCGATTCCTCCGAGAGAAAAATCTACCAGGACGCTCATTATCGACCATTTGCTCTGGGTGCACGCTCGTACTCGTTTTGCGCAGGCCCGTGCCGAGCTGGGCATGACGGATCGCACGGGCGGCCCATCCTCGGGCAACTACATCCATCGAGAGCGGCCGGAAAATTATGAAGAGGACGAGGAAATATACAGCGATGGTGAGGATGTCAGGTCGCTCATGGCCCGCGCTGGGGGCCCGGATCACATTCACGAAGACGAGGACGACGAGCGGCTGGAGATGCAGGACCTCAAGCTCGCCCGCTCGCTCAGACAACGAGCGGAGGGAGTCGAGAAGGTTGCGACGTCGATGCTCGACCAGCCGCCATCGGTCCTGCCTATGCACCCAGACGATCTCAGCGACTCCCCGACGTCGCCCCAGCTGCGCCCCCACAACGTTCAGCGGGATCCGCACATGCTGCCCAACGGCGTCCGTCTACGCCTCGCCCTTGCCACTGTCATTAACGACCTCTTCTCCCGCCGCGCACCCAGCCCCTCTAGTCGCCAACCCGCTCCACCGGCAACCTCGCCCTCCTTGCCGCCGCTTCCGTTAGCCCTTGTCCCACTAGCCGCCATCTCTTCGGGCACTCCCCAGCCTATTCCCACCGCACAACCTGCTTCCCCAGTCCCCCGCCGCCCATATCCGAACCAATACATCCGCTCGCTCTATGATATCGGCGCCGAGGCCGATTCGGCGAACTCTCCGCCATCGCTGCGCTGTCCCAGACATCTTCACATGGGCTGTGAGATTTGCGTCGAAGCGAAGGCTACACCTCCGACGCGTTCGGGCCAAACGCGCACAGGTCAAACGCGCACAGGCCAGACACGCTCTCGTAGCGCGCAGGGACGCGCAAGCTCGACGACCGGGAGCAGCCCAGGCGACTTACCCGCCTCAGGGAACAACGGTGCGTGTGCACTTGTTGGCGGCGTGACGGGCTGGCAGGATGGGAGCGGCATCGGGTCGGGCCTGGCTCGCCCCGGTGCGCGGGGAACGGTGCTCAGGCGGCCGTCGGACGCACATCCGGCCACCCACGATGCGAATACGGTCCCACAGATGTGCAGCACGAAGCTCGCAGAACTCATCGTCAGGTTCATCCGCCTTAGCGCGTTAGTCGCGATGGAGCTTGGGCGGGAGGCGACGGAGGATCGAGCATCGGTGGATGGCGGGGATGCTCGGCATGAAGACTCGTCGCCTGTAGCGGGCCCGTCGGCTGCTCCTCGCCCTCCTGCTTCTCCGCAGACAAGCCCACGGACACTCACTCATCGCAATCTTGCTGAGGCTGGACTATATTACTATGCCTTGCGACCTTCCCGCGAGTGGTACTTCCTCCTAGCTGGATTACTCACACGTGCCGTTGTAGAAGGGTATATGACGGCTGGATGGCGAGGCGTGGGACCACTCGAAATCCTGCTGGGAGTGGGTCTGGACATCGCGAAAGTGGCAGCATCAGGCCGGTCAAATGACCGCCAGAGACCCAATGTAGGACCTAGCCCCGGGAAGAGTAGAGAGGACGCGACGGTGCATGAAGAAGAGGATGAATTCAAGCGATTTAACCCAGATGACCTCCCTGAGCTTGATGACGCCACCCGAATACTCTTTCCGTCTTTGAGGGATGCATTTGGCGCATCCAATACAGTATATCGCCAAAAGGAGGGTGCAGAACTTGAGTATGAAATAGAAATGATGGAACGGTTGCAGCGTGTGAGTCGATCTCTACATTATATATGGATGACTGCTTAGCGATATTGCAGTTCTATGATGTACCCCCTTCTACCCTGGACATTGCAACCCATATGGAGGATCTCCAGTGGCAATACCCTGCCGAGGCTGTAGAGCGTGCAGCCATACGGTTCTGCGAAGCTATCGCCAGGTGGCGAGGGAAACCCGAATTAGAGACAGTGAGTCTTCCGGTCGCACAGCACCGTCTTCCTTTGAATGACTCTCATGTCAGTATAAGAAGGCTACGTGGATCATTGGCCAGCGAGAACCCCGAGCTAGTGCTGGTGCTGCCATGTCTATCGACGCACTCGTCCATTCCAATCCCACCAGCCCATCAAACACTACGACCCCATCCGAACACCATCAGCCCCCGCAGCCGCAAATGGCCCAGGATATGAAACCCCACCGACCGCAGATAGAAAAGTACTTTACGATACCCCAGTCCGTAATAACACAGGGGCGGAAACGACGCAGGGAGTCTGACACAGAGCGGATGGACGGGGCGCGGAGGATCTCCAATCCTGTGTATGCGTGACTGGGCTTGTCTGATTGTCTCCCGCACTGTTGCTGTCGATTCTACTTATATGAGTGTTGTTTGTTGTATGATACACAGCCACTATGAGCTCATTGTAGGCCACCCTTGTATTTGTATAATGCTCGACCCACATAGGTGGCAGAACTTGTACTGATAATGCATCCGTTTGCATGAATGTTTGCTTGTCGCCGGTCGTCCAATCAGGCAATTTACCACCTGAACCCGTGACACAACGCGTACGCCGACAGACAAACTAAAGCCAGTCAAATCCGAAACATTCTGCAACAGGCATGCAGCAATCCACTACATATAAAATTCGATCGAAAGCGAAAACATGGACTACATGATCAGGAGAATACAGTGACTACAGAGCTACACAAAAACGCAGGATCAAAGTTCGCAACCCGGGGCGCGGGGATATGAAGCCGCGGTACAACATGTTGTCATGTTGAATGCACACGAGAACGAGACGGGTTAAAAATATGCACAAGCCCCGCATCACGCCCACGACGGATCAGTCCACCACCGCTGCTCGGCACCGCGCACAGACCACTCTGCGATGCCCTTGATGGACGCAACGTACACGCAAGTTCCCGACGGATCGAAACACGTTCCCGCGAGGTCTTGGTCGACGTCGGCCGCACCCTCCGCTTGCGTGCTCCGCCGGTGTCTCCGCGCGAGCGCGCCTGCGCTGCGTCTGGTGCTGTACGGCCCGGTGCTCTCGCGCCGCGCGAGCAGCCCAGGACGGGAGAGGCGTAAGTGGTCCGTGAGGCGCGTGCTGGACGGCTGCATGGTCGGTGGCACGGGCGATGATGCGCGGGACGGTGTATGCGAGGAGAAGCAGTCCGACTCGAGCTCGTCGACGTCCATCTCCTCCCCTGCGCCGTCACCTTGCTCGTGGGTGCCCCGCTCGCCCACACCGTCGTCGCGAAGTTGCTGGTCCAGGATGGCGGCGCGCGTCCGGAGCCCGTGCCGGCCCAGCAGCCTGCGCACGTCATCTTCAATGCGGGGATCCCCGAGAGGGGGAATGACCACAATACCGTCGACATCCTCGTCTATGCCAGCGTCTTCTCTCCCTTGCGGCCGACGACCCGAGCGCAATCGCCGGCGGCCGTTGCTGCTCTCCGTAGGAATGCGGAATGTGTCCTCCAGTGCTCCACTGAAAAGGACTATCCGGGGCGGGGGCGGAGGCAGCACCTCGGCCGAGGTACTATTGTGGAATGGAGGCGATATGGATCGAGGTCGAGGGAGTGGTGCTTGTGACGGCGCAGGTATTTCGAAATCAGGCATTCGGACAATTTCTTCCGTTTCGAACGTGCGAGCATCAACAACATGCAGCAATGATGTGTGCTGAAACGAATAACAGTAAGAACCTGCGTGATTTACAGCGTGGACGTAGAGACACCTACTTCAGTGAATGTCATGACTTCTCTGCCTGTACCGGCTGGGCTAAACTTGATGCTCCTGACGCCCCAGCCAGGGGCATTTGTGGTCCCCCTAGTCCAGTCCCACGGGCCATCCAGCCAGCCACTTGCTGCACCACTACCCGCCCGCGATGGCCGGGTCTTATCTGTCTGGATAACCTTAAGGGGCTTCGTGCTACGCACATCCCAGACAGCGACAACACCCTCCTGCGATGCTACTGCAAATTTAGAGCCATCACCTGAGAACGAGGTGGAAAATGACGCTGGAACGGTTGGTCCTGATGCGTGTTGGAAGGTATAGGATGAATTGAAGGAGATGTACGGAGCAAGGGACAGAGTCATGATGGGTGATACCGTGATTCGGGAGCCTCCTGTAACACGATGCAAAAAGACATCGGGCGAATCGCCCACACAAAGAAGAGTTCGCCCATCTGGGGAAATTGACGCTTGAAACAGAACGTCAGCACCGCCTGCGCGAATCGCAAGAGTAGACCAATAACATACAATGGTTCACGGGGACGTCTAGCCGCAACTGCCCCACATCACGAAGCATAGATGCGCCACTGGCACCCTTGCCACTATTGCGCACAGCTACATCGAAAAACTTAACCGTTCTGTCGTTGTTGCTGATAATCACGCGGGGCTCAACGCTGCTTTCATGAGATCCAGCCAAGTTGAGCGATGTCAACAGCACAGAGTTATTGATTGACCCGTGCTCGATAGGCACCTTGAATTCCCATCGCTTGCGACCAAACCCTCGGGTTGGACCGCACGATAGGCCGTCCGGCCGGCGTGCGTGAATCGTCGAAGAAAATAATGATAGGTATAGTTCCGCGTCCTGCCCGCCAGCTGCCAGAAGTGTGTCATTTGAATTGGGGAGGTTGAGAGCGGCAATCGAGTTCGGGATGAAGTCCAGCTCGGCCAGCTGCCGCGGTGTCTGCACCGGCGATGATGTGAAGACCACAGACACATCGCGACAAAGAAAGTACGCACCGAATCGGGCAGGAGAATGTCATGCTCAACAATGGCGAAGTTGTTCTGAGGATACGTCACGATGCCCTTCTCGTGTGGACAAATAAGGACGTCCCGGAGTTGCCTGGATGAAATCAGCTGAGGTCAGCCTGAACTATCTCACATGCGTAAGACGAATCGGATGCTGCCCAGACATGCAGACAACATCGGGGTAGTGTGTGGCAGAATCGTCCTTCGATCGAGGCCACAGTTCGGCGGCGGAGGCTACGCCGACATAATAGACGAAGGACGTCTTCCAACACACCAATAATCCAAGTAGACACGGACGGCGGCTCGTGGGAGGTAAGCTCCGGCCACATGCTGTCGATGGGGATAACCACAACCAACACATCCCCGTCCTACTCGGCCCCTTCCAGACGGGTTGAGAGAAATGAGACACATACACATGTCCAATCGTAACCCGCGCAGGACTTGCTGCGCTCGGCGTGGGGTAGACCAGGAGGGACGGGGCACCGCGTGCCATGGGAGAGTGAAGTCAAGAGGTCCTCAGGGGCGCGGTCAGATTAAAAAGCAGCCCAGGCGGGCGGCGCGATGCGCGATTCCGCAGTGGAGGCAGTCGCAGGGCCAGAGCGTCGTCCTCGAAGTCAATAACGCAGATCCCAGCACCTCCGAGCGCGGTGGCGCGTCCTGTTGTGTCCACAAAGCGCCCCTGTGGGTGAGTGGATGCAAGCAAAGAAAGACGACTAGAGTTGCGGTAGTCGATGAACAATGCGAAACCCAGAGTGCATAAGAGGCTGAGGGATAGAGGAGGCCTGGAAGGAGAAGAGCAGCATGCGCCTCGCACACTCGGTCGCAGACGGTCACATGTCCCAGTCCACTCACACAAAGACGGGGCAAATAATATAGTCTGTTCCATCTGTATTGTGAATACATAAATAACACGTCCAGTATCTACCAGAAATTCTAGGCTACAATCAGTTCAAAGGCGGACGCGGTATGTGAGAAAACTACAGGGGAGACACTTCTGTGACAGCTGGGGACGGAAACGGGAACGAGAATAACCTTCGAACGAGAGCAACGACACCAGGGGAGGAGGGGACACGACTCGAACCGATAGCAGCGCACTGTAGACGATATAGATTACACAAGAATCGCAGAGCGTCCAGATAGGATAGGCCATAGGGGAAGACAACGAGCACCAATAGATAAGTGTCAGAATACAAACGTAGTGGATCATGAAGCAGGACACGACAGACGACCGACCAGCAGACGCGGCGTCTACATGACATATCCACCAGAACCGGCCCACGATGGAGCGTCCGGGTCAGGCTTCATATTGGGCGTACCGGGTGCACTGATGTCGTTCTCTTGCCCCGTCGTCGTGATCTCGTCTTGGATCTTCCGGCATTCCGCGCCGCCTTCGGATCGCACTGTAAACTTAACTGTCAGTGCCTGACGACGAAGCGGACGGCACAGAAAAACGCACGATGACGATTGAGTGCGTCCATCCGCGCAAAGTTCTTCTTGCAGCCTTCGCAAGGGTACGGCCGGATATTGAGGTGGAGCTGTTCATGGCGCTTGCAATCATGCTGCCGCGCAAAGCCCTTTCCACAGCCAGGCCATTTGCACTGAAAGGGTTTTTCCTCCGCATGCGATCGCAGGTGCCCTACATAGCACAAAATTTAACATCGCAGCCTCTGTGGTATATAACCAATTACTCACCTTTGAGATTGAAGTGCCGTGTGAACGTACTCCCGCACCCGACTACTGGGCACTGGAAGTTGGCGGGCTGCTTCCGGCGCCTCTGACTTGCATCCGCAGTACTCGGGGTCGTCACATTCACCTTTGCGATATGCGTCGGCACCCCAGTCTGCTCCATATTAATGCTACCCATTCCATTCATCCCCATGTCGAGGTGCATCATCCCACTGGGTGCAGTCCGCCTCATCGCCGCCATGCTCACATTCACCGGCATGCCCGATATATCCGGAAGGGCGCCGTACCCCGGACGAGGACTGGCCGACGGGGAGGGATACGGGCTTGCGCGCGCACTACTGGCGGCGCTGCTCCATCCCGTGACGCCGCCCACACCGGGACGCTCGCGCGAACCCGAGGATGCCCGGCGGTGATGTCCGCGAGTGATAGAGACAACCGGTTCAGAGGGATGGAGATACTGACGAGCCGCGGCTGCGCGAATGAACTCCTGCTGAGCAGACGACGGAGGCGGCACGAGCATCCCGGAGGAATTAGTGAACGGTGTGGAAGGCGTACTGTAGCGTAAGTCTTCAGACCGTACCAGACGGTGACCACGACTCTCTGATTTGACGCGACGAAGATCGGCGGCGGCAATGCCAGGGGTTAGAAAGTCGGTCCCTGAGTTGGGACTCAAGAGACCCGAAAGCCCGTAGCTAATTTGTGACCCAAGAGACTGCTGCTGAACCAGTCCGAACGAGCTCTGCTGTGGACCTGCAGAGGCGGGATGCCGAACCGGGGGTTGGGGGCGAAGTGAGGGGTGAAGTAGATTGGAAGAGGATGGACCAGGAAGTACATCATTCATGTTGACTGTATTGACAGTCCCGGCGGACGCAGGCCTCCTCCCATCGTGAGAACCAAGCATACTCCCATCAGCGCCCACAGCGGACCCTTGATGGTTCATCATCATAGGGACCGTATCCCAAACTGGAGGGCGCAACGACGTGTCCGAAAGGCTTCTCGTCCGTTGTGGCGCCTGAGGCACCAAAAACTGTTGCGGACGCTGGCTGTCCCGAGGCGTTTCGCCTCCGTAACCCATTACCGAGGAACCTGGCATGTTTGATCCGATGTGAGCGAACGAGTGATCGGCAAACTGCGCGCCTGTCAGACCTTGACTCTGCGATGGAGGCGACATATGTTGGGCCTGCGGCTGTTGATCCCATCCAGCTCCGTCAGATGGTCGTACGCATTGCTGGCCATCTGAAAATAGAACACAATCCGACGTGTAAAAAAATCCGCAGAGAAGATGCGAACGCGACTAACCTGACACTGAGGATTGGAACAACACTGGAGGAGCATTCTCGCCGCCACCGCTGACAGGAGTAGCGGGGACAATGTGCAACTGTGGCCCTGTCATCGTAGACCCATCGCCAGCTGGAGCATTGATAATCGGCGGAGACTGTGTATCAAATCCTGTCGGCGAGGGACTGGTAGGGATCACCAGTTGGGGAGGCGACTGAGGCTTCTGCGAAGGAGGCGACGACCTGTCTGTAGCGGGCAATTGTCCTGCTGCCCATGCAGGGGAATCGAAACGTAAACTCTCAAAGTTTGTCGTAAAATCTAGGCGAGGAGAAGACTGAACGTATGCCGACGTCGACGATGCGTTGCTCCTAGTATCCTCCTCTACGCCGTTGCTAGACGCAGGGGAGCTGTGATCAAAGGAGGGAGTGCCCATCGCTGAAGTCTTTCCGTCCAACATGGGAGGGGTGATCGAGACGTGGGGGAAGTTCTCGCTCGACATGAATCCGTCGTCCAGAGTCAAGAGGCCTGACGAATTGGGGATGTCGTACTCTGCGGGATCGTACTCGTCTGCGAGGGAAATGCTGTTCGGGTTATCGAAGAGACTGAGAGTATTGTGGTCGTCGTCGAAAGGTGGGAGATCGGAGATGATGGAGTAGGGAGAGTTCTGGTATGAGCCGTTGTATGACGGAGTGCGGGGAAAGTGGGACTCTGGGTGGGAGAGATCGTGAGTGAATTCGAACGAGTCGTAAGGAGTACCGAGGCTGGGGGAGCCGTCGAATTGGCTGCCGTCAAAATCGTTATGGTGCGGGGACTGGAAGTCCTGTGAGACGAGGAGCGAATCCATGCCGAGGCGGAGGCTTTGTATTGAGCAGAGACTTTGTGGTGGTGGAGATGATGAAATGTTTGGGTATGGCACGGTCTGGAGGCTGTGACGGACACGAGCAAGCGAGGGAGGCTGGCGGGGGCGATGCACAGCAAGAAAGCGACGGCGAGCCTGCAACCTGGAAGATGAGAGCAAAGACAGCTCGACCTTATGCGAATCGTCGCCGGGTCCATTTCAGACTCCGCTTGATTCGCCAGTTTCATCTGTTCATCATCTCCTCCGTCGTCCGCACCCTCGCCCTCGCTGCCCGCCCCGGCCTCCTCACCCTCGTCCATGCTTGCCTCACGCGATCTCTAATTTCCAACGCATTGCCTCCCCTCTTTCCCCTGCACTGCCTGTGGTTTTTGCTTCCTCAGAGGCGGGGGGGGCG